TTATTTGGTAAAAACTCCCTACATTATTTCAAAGATAAATTATTAATTTAGTTAATAAATTTTCATTATTTTTTATTTTAATTTTAAATATTTCTTCATCATAAAATAATTCTCACTTTTATCAAAATCATTATTTAGCCATTGACACAGAAAAATGTTCTTCATATTTTGGTAAAATTACAGTGATAAATTTATCTTTTATGCAATGTTTTATAAGTTATATAATATCAAATACTTCCTCCCTTTCACATTTGCTTATATAAAAACTTTGATGAAAAGGAGGAAAAAATGATTAGTAGTAAAATAAGTAATATTTCCAATTAAGAATCTTATGGTTGAATATATTGAAGTGATTACTTCAAGTCAAGTTGGGTATAAACAATGTGTCAAGACAAGGACTTCGATAAATCTTCCATTAATGTCTAAAATAAGAGAACACACCTCCTTTGACTGATAATTTGGCCTAAATTATCACACGATGATCCTAAACAAACTGCCTTCTTTTTTTTTTATGCCATTAAAAAGGGTGCTTGACTTCACTGCTCGTATTTTCTAATTAAATTTTGAAGTTCATAAATTATTTTGTGTGACAAATATAAATTGATACAGTATTTATTAATTCCTCTAAATTAGGATAACCTTGCTTACTATGAGTAATATTTACACTAAATTATAAGCACGTCCCACCTCAACCATCACAATTTATAGTACTTTTTTATTCATAGCTTTCCTATATTTTAGTTATTATTGAAAAATTAAAGTAATTAGTACAATTTATGAAATATATGTTACGAACTATACCCCGTCTTATAAAGTAATGACCGGAGTATACTTATTTAAATCACGTAAATTTGACTTAAATAAAATAACTTAACTTTATTAATTATAGCAGAGTCGCAAAAATCTTATATCATTTAAATGTAAACATAAACATATGTATAAAACTCTAAATTTTCTTATTTATAATATTAAACAAAAGTACGAAACAATAACCTTAATATCAGAATTTAGCTTCAAAATTTTTTTATATCACCGCTCACTCTACAACGATATCTTAAGTATATTAAGGGTGATAGAGGAAGTGAGAAAAAATATTCCAATAAGCGATATTATAAAATCACAGCATAATACACATAATATATAATTTCATAATACAGCAAAATATATATCATATAATCTTTCTAAAATGGATACAAATAAGAAGACAAATGCTCAAATTAGAAAACAAATTCATATTATACACTTTATCACTATTATTGATGATCAATCAGTTACCATACATTATGCGTAGGCACAGATACTTATCATTGGTTTCTTATGTACCCGAACACAGAATGACATATACGAGTATCTTGAAACACTGCTACCTCTCGAATATGAAACTGTTAGGGCACGCAAATCAGATTATTTTCTCATACACCTGAAGATATAATGGTTATATATGGGTAAACATTATCACTTCACCAATACACCCGAATACGGAACGGTTATATACAGCCAGATTAAAGTCTAGCATAATGCAGATACTTTCAGAATAATTTTGTAACGGCCCACAACTTGAAAGGAAATAGAATCATAAATTGAATGCGGAAGCGAAATAATAAAATTAGCGTTTACATTCCTTACACAATAATTTAGAATACCCAACAGGGCTATACGAATGACTCTTTTAAAAGAACATACGAAAAATCAAAAAAATAAATGGAAAGTAAACAATTGGGCATCCTATTCGCAGCCATCTTGTGGATCGGGATCTAGATCTTGGTTATCTTGATCTGAAATGGTTAATGAAAGAGTGAACTATACTAACTCAATAAAAATGTCATACTACTCACCGATACATAAATAAAGGTTGATAAAAATTATAAAATAACTAATGAACCTCTTAATCTAAGTAAATTCATTTATCATAAATAAAATTTATTTATATATACTTACCGTAACGAGATTTCCAAAATCGACCTATAGAGGCAATAACATAAACAACATCATAATCTCATACTCAATTAATAAGAATAACAGTTTTTTTTTTATCTGCTTACTAATATTCATGGGGGTCCATAGAGATGTCCTCACTACGCGTGAACCCTTATTCAACATTGTAAACTAACTGGCCGTTCCTATACCTTGTCCAATATGAGTGCCAAAAATATCATCCCTCAATACCTTTTCCAGTATGAGGGTGAAACGGCCCCCATACCTCGTCCGGTATGAGCACTAAAATACCAATCTTCGATACCCCGTTCGATATGAGGCAACGTTCACGATAGGATTCCCTATGTACCCGGTCCATCCACCATATCTCAGGATATTCAGTAACGCTATCATTCATTCATTCACTTAATTAAGTAATTTTTCGTTTACATTTAATTTTTAGTTCCACAATTTAACTGTAAATCATGCAAAACAAGCAATACATGCATCAAAAAAATACAACTGAATCATCTTACCAACTCCAGCATTTTATCATGCATTTAAAACAGTAAAATTAATTAATCAGTTAAAACAAGATAAACAGTGATAAATAACCGGTTCTGTCTCCATTAGTAACATGTAATTAATTATTAAGGTTTTTTAAATTATACAAAATGTCGTATTATTTAAATTGAATTTCAATTCCATAACAGGGAATAAGGTGAGGAATTCTTACCTGAATTGGTGTCCGAAACACTAAACTTTCAGCTACGCCTGCTGGCGATCCCTGGGTTCCCTGAATTTTTCTTTGGAGATTAAAACACGCTTCAAGTACCTAAAAATACCCTAAAAACTCAAAATTCGGTGTTAAAAACTTTTTCAGAACAATTTTAGAACTCTAACACGGCGGCACCGTCGTGCTCTGGTGACGGCACCGCCGCCCGCGGTAGGGCCACCGCTGTGCTCCGGTGACGGTACCGTCACCTGCGAAGGCAGTTTGCATTGGACTACTCGATTTCAG